TTGTGAAGACCTGCATAACTCACTCATGTATGAGTCACACAGCCATTGCAAACTCATGCCAATAAAAGGACGTTCTTGTACGGGTCTGAACAGCGTCTAGCACAATGGAATCCCAATCCTGATTGGGCCTCCAGCTGCTGTCCCCACATAAATATTAAATTAGAATTAATATACTCACAGTAGACAACCACGTATTCTATCTTACCCTAATTTGCATGGGCACACACACTGCACACTAGGTCAGAACCTCAGAGGGGGAACATCTGCATTTGACCAACAGCATTTAATAAAAGCAATATAAAATTAAAGACGTAGGAGGAGAGTTTCAAAGGTCCAAATTAGGGCTGTCAAGCGATTAAAAAAATTAATTGCCATTAATCGTGCTGTTAAACAGCAATAGAATACCATTTATTTAAAAAAAAACAAAAAAAAAAAAACGAGGAGTCTTTGTGGCACTTTAGAGCCTATCAAATTTATTTGGGCATAAGCTTTTGTGGGCTAAACCCCCCTTCATCAGATGCATGGAGTGGAACATACTGTAAGGAGGTATAAACACACAGCATATGAAAAGATGGGAGTTGCCTTACCAGGTCGGGAGTCCACTCCATGCATCTGATGAAGTGGGTTTTAGCCCATGAAAGCTTATGCCCAAATAAATTTGTTAGGCTCTAAAGTGCCACAAGCAGGAGCGGCGCCAGGGTTTTTGGCGCCCTAGGCAGGGGTCCTTCCACGCTCCTGGTCTTCGGGGCACTTTGGCGGCGGGTCCCAGACAAGTGAAGGACCCGCTGCAGAATTGCCGCTGAAGACCCGGAGCGCGGAAGGACCCCCCGCCGCCGATTTGCCGCCAAGGGCGGCAAAATGCCGCCCCCCCCAAATCCTAGTGCCCTAGCGACCACCTAGGTTACCTAAATGGAAGCGCCGGCCCTGGCCACAAGGACTCCTCGTTGTTTTTGCTGATACAGACTAACAGGGCTACCACTCTGAAACCTGTCATTTATTTTAAATATTTTTGGATGTTTACTACATTTTCAAATATATTAAATTCAATTACAACACAGAATACAAAGTGTACAGTGCTCACTTTATATTTATTTTTGATTTCAAATATTTGCACTGTAAAAAACAAAAAAAATATTTTTCAATTCACCTCATACAAGTATGGTAGTGCAATTTCTTTATCATGAAAGTTGAACTGACAGATGTAGAATTATGTACAAAAAAACCTGCGTTCAAAAATAAAACAATGTAAAACTTTAGAACCTACAAGTCCACTCAGTCCTACTTCTTGATCAGCCAATCACTCAGACAAACAAGGTTGGTTACAATTTGCAGGAGATAATCCTGCCTGCTTCTGTTTATAATGTCACCTGAAAGTGAGAACAGGCATTCTCATGGCACTATTGTAGCTGGTGTTGAAAGATATTTATGTGCCAGATGTGCTAAAGATTCATATGTCCCTTCATGCTTCAACCACCATTCCAGAGGACATGCTTCCATGATGATGACAGGTTCTGCTCAATAACGATCCAAAGCAGAGCGGACCGACGCACGTTCATTTTCATCATCTGAGTCAGATGCCACCAGCAGAACGTTGATTTTCTTTTTTGGTGGTTCGGGTTCTGTAGTTTTCGCATCAGAATGTTGCTCTTCTAAGACTTCTGAAAGCATGCTCCGCACCTCATCCCTCTCAGATTTTGGAAGGCACTTCAGATTCTTAAACCTTGGGTCGAGTGCTGTAGCTATTTTTAGAAATCTCACATCAGTACCTTCTTTGCGTTTTGTCAAATCTGCTGTGAAAGTGTTCTTAAAACAAACATGTGCTGGGTCATCATCCGAGACTGCTATAACATGAAATATATGCAGAATGCGGGTAAAAACAGAGGAGGAGACATACAATTCTCCCCCCCAAGGAGTACAGTCACAAATTTAATTAACACATTATTTTTTTAACGAGCATTGTCAGCATGGAAACATGTCTTCTGGAATGGTGGCCAAAGCATGAAGGGGCATACGAATGTTTAGCATATCTGGCATGTAAATACCTTGCAATGCCAGCTACAAAAGTGCCATGCAAGCGACTGTTCTCACTTTCAGGTGACATTGTAAATAAGAAGCAGGCAGCACTCTCTCTCGTCAATGTAAACAAACTTGTTTGTCTTAGCGATTGGCAGAATAAGAAGTAGGACTGAGTGGACTTGTAGGCTCTAAAGTTTTACACTGTTTTGTTTTTGAGTGGAGTTATGTAACCAACAAAAATCTGCATTTGTAAGTTACACTTTCACGATAAAGAGATTGCACTTCAGTACTTGTATGAGATGAATTGAAAAATACTATTTCTTTTGTTTATCATTTTTACAGTTCATATATTTGTAATCAAAAATAATAATATAAAGTGAGCACTGTACACTGTGTATTCTGTGTTGTAATTGAAATCAATATTGAAAATGTAGAAAAACATCCAAAAATATTTAATACATTTCAATTGGTATTCTATTGTTAAAAATGTGATTAACCACGATTAATTTTTTTGAGTTAATCGTGTGAGTTAACGGCAATTACTTGACAGCCCTAGTCCAAATGCTAATTAGGTACCTAACGCCTTCAGTGGGAATTAAGCACATAAATGCAATTTGCACCTTTGAAAATCTCCTCCGGTCATTAATATTATATTGTTTTTATTAAACGCGGTTGGCCAAATTCCCAGTTGTAAGTATCGATTATATCCATTAAAGAAGTGCTTAGAACCCGCAGAGATCTAGGTCCCATTGTGCTACGTGCTGTCTGTACACATAGTAGGAGACAGTCTCTATTCCAAAGAGCTCACAATCTAAGAGAGACAAAAAGTGGGACACAGAGGCTCAGGGAGGTGAAGGGCCAGATTTTCTAAGATATTAGGCGCCTAAAAACCTTTGAAAATCTGATAGCAGATCAATACCAGAGTTGGGAATAGGCTCCCAGGTCAGTGCTCTATCCACTGGATCATGCTGACTCTGGTAGTTTGATTTGTACTGCTTTGAAGTGGCAGTTATAATTATTATTTACTATTATGGCTCTTATTATTTCATTTGTGTCGAGAGGCCCCAATCAGAATTGCATGTCCAGACACATATGAAGACACAGTCCCTGCCACAGAGAATTTTTTTCTTTGTAATGCTGTGAGGTCCCATATCAAATACTGGCATCGCTTTCAAATATAAGAGACATTCTATTTCCATGTAATTCTTGCTGCTGGCTCTTACCAGTGTAATGGGGTCCTTCTACAAATCAGATCAGTAACAATATCCACTTTTAAAATCTCACATTGCAGTGCCATTTAAAACTATAATATGTTAGCTATATGACATGCACAGCAGAGTTCAATTAGATTGTATGTCTACAATTTAAAAATTTTAACTTTCCTCTTTTTTCACTACCAAAGGCATTTTTAATCTGCCTTTCTCTTTTAGTTCTAACATTTTGGTGGAAATGATTCATCATCAACATTGGATCATTTCTAAATATTCAGAAATGTTTCCCAGGCATCCTAATACTCCAATCTTGCAATCATCAGCATATATGTAGTTTGCTGTGGCCATATAGAACCGTATTGAACTCAAGAGGGTGTTTTAGTAGCTGCAACAGTCTGTCTGCACGCAATCAATTGCAGGATTGGGGCCTAATTTTCTAAATTCAAAGTCTTTGTGTCTTCTGTTGAAACAGTCACTCTTCATTAAAACAAATATTAACCTCTGCTCAAGAATAATTCACATGGTCTCAAAAAAAAAAAAAATCCCACTACACTTGTGTAAAAATGTGGAAATATAATGTCACTGGAATAAATTTTCTTTTGAACTACTTGTCAATATTCTAATCTGTGATTCAGCAATAATTTCTGCATCACGAATTTGTTACTATTAAATATGTTTTGACGGAAAATTGCTAACGCAGCCTTAGTCATATTGGGCAATATCTTCAGCCAGTGTAGATGGGCATAGCTCCATTGACATCAATCTATCGATTTGCACCAGTCTGGCCTATGGTGCTCTAGAATGTATTAAAAAAACCCTGGAAAAATGTACATTTATCAACAGGCTTATTTTAATACTATAGGCCCGATAAAAGAATGAATTATGCATAATATACAGCACTGTATATGGTGCTTTTTCACGAAACAGCAAGGTTTTGATGCTCTGTTCTCTTTATCTGGTAATGTTGGTCTGCATCTCTATCCCCAGTCAGGGCACAGGAGGTTATTTTTTAAAAGTTCATAATTAAAATAGTTCTACTATTTGGCTATTTGATTATTTCACAGAGGTACAGTCAATAGAGTTGCCATGGGCTAGAAATAGGGGAAGAGCATGTTTGCTAAGAGAGATTCTTAAGTTTGATGGTACAATTTTTAGCCAAGTGTGCTACACAGTTGTAAACAATGCAAAGAACATTTTGTTGATGGGGTGTGTGCGTGTGTGACTAACCTTTGAACTGGAATGAATAAGGCTACAAGATTTACCTTAATTCAAGGGACTGCAGTAACCCAGTTTATACATATCCAGCCTAGTAATCCACCTCAGTGCACATACAACAGTAAATTGATACATAAAATAAACTGTAAATCCTTAGGGGGAGGGAAGAATTTCCCCTTCTCCTCTTTCTATTGTAATAATCCCTTTAGGAAAAAAAATCAAACTTGGGTAAAGGTTAATAATAATTCATGTCCAGCTTACTATTACTCAATAACTATCAAAGTCTCTAACTCAAAATAGTGTTTGCTGGCTTACAGGATCAGAGCCATTACACTCTCTATTGAAGACTTTATTGAATTTTACACTAAGCTTTAGCTGACTGAACAGGTCAAGCACTCTGGCTCACAGTTTTCTTTATTCTCAGAAACTCATAAACCCTTCTCCAGTTTGCAACGCTGTTAGCTAAGAAACTTGACTCAGCACAGGGTCAGAGAACCTGACCCCCATGAAAAAGGTCACATAGTTTTAAAACCCAGTTCCTGAATACCATTAACTTACATGCACTAGCTGTTCCTGCGTGTCAAACTCTCGTGAACAGCCTTCCCAATGGCAGTTCGTCTCATAGACCACTTCGGGCTCCTGCTTGCTTTCATCTTTGTCCCCTTCCTCCTTTACAAGGGTCATTCCTTCTGGCTGTTCCTGGGGAAAAAAATAACAAAAAACAATCCAGGTGTGAAGAGAGGCAAGAAGAAACTCTGATAAAGAGGGGGAAGAAAGATGAATTACTTCAACATTAAAGGAAAGGTACAGTAAGAAAAGCCCAATTTAGATTCATTTACTCTTGATTCAGCTCATTACCCACATTCAGATAAAACACAAAAGCCCCGAGTGGGCCTTGTAAACCAGACAGTGGAGATGGGCTATTTCTCTAAGAGCTGGCTCCCTTTTTTAACAATATATTTTCCAGAAGTATCCAGTGCAGATCATTTCTGCAGGAACCTCCTCACATGGTGCCTTGTTAAACAAACTGATAGACGAGGAAAAGAGAAAAGGCAGATCATGTCCCAAATTATTCAAACCTGCTGGCGTTCGATCTCAATGAGAGGTGGAAGAGGGTGAGGGGAAGGGTCAAAACTTCTTAAAAAAAATAACTGGGAGTCACAATGAAATAAATTAAAATAAAATCATAAAGGGCCTGCTTCTAATACTTGGATTAATTATATGGGTCGTCCCAATTGTTTCAATGGGATTATTACTGAGTGAGATATTATTCAGTATGAGTAAGGGGATCAGAATTGGGATCAAATACTATGGCTGTGCTTGCAAGCAAGATCATCAACAATCTAAAATGTACTTCAATTCTGAATCCCGTAATAGGCTCGGAATGCGAAACTTCTTCCAAAATTAGACTGATAATTTTCAGGATACTTGATGGATTCATTTGTTTTTTTCCCCACAATGTGTGTATGTGTGTGGTTGTTTTTTAATGTATAGCTTCAGTTCCTAGCAGAGCCCCATTCTCCCCAGCTTGCTATTTGCTCAGGCTAAGAGTCAGATGTCAGGAGTCTTTCTAAACATTTGTTTCAGATTATGAAGACATGCTATTTTCCACTTCAAACCCCCATGTAGGATTTAGATGGGCTTTGGTTTTGGTTTTATGGATTCAGTGAAAAGACTGAGGACCTGATTCTGATCTCACCTACCTTAGTGTAAATCAGAAGTAACTCCACTGAAGTCAGTGAGTTATGCTGGTGAAAAAGCATTGCAAATGAGATCAGAATCATATGCTGAAGCCCTGAATCTGCAAAGCACTTAAGCACATGCAAAGTCCAGTTAAAGCCAATGAGATTTAAGCATGTGCGTAACTTTAAGTATGTGCTTAAATACTCTGCTGAAGCAGGGCTTAAGTGCCTCAGGTTCACCTTTTATCACCAAATACACCACAGCAAACAGAGGATTGAAAACTCCTCTAAAGACATACACAGATGCAAGTCTCACCCCACCCCGTCCCCCAGCAAAAAATATAAAACAAACCAGGTCATAATTGTTTACATTTGATTCTGTAATCATCCCTTGGTATTATGGACTGACGCAGTGTGAATCCATGTATGCTAGGCCAAGGGCCACAAAGGGGTGGAAAGCCTTAAAACGTGCTACAGATAAGATGTGCCTTCTGTCTGGCAATGAGATGGAAGTCTGATTAATGAAACCTGCATGCTGTACCTGCATATTTCCTGCACCTGGACTGGGGAGGTCCTCATCTGGTTTTATCTTGGAACGCTTGTTGTGCATTGGATCCCCGGTGCTGCTCACTGCAGATTCACTTGTGGGTTTATTCTGCTGCAGGTGTTGTTCCCCAAAAAGACAAAATTAGACTGTGATAAATACACAGCGCTCCAAACAGAAATATGCAGCATCCGCTAAGCGACTTTATTTGGAGATGCTCCATTGTTAATTATATTGGCTATACCATTATAATATATTCAATTACATAGCATTAACTTGCAGAATAGCTGCATCATTCAAACTTGTAATGGAGCGGGGAAAAAATATAAGTGAATACACTCTGTGTAATTCATTATTATAAACCATTGCTGCTTTTGTCAGGATGGGGAAGGGTAATAAGGAGTCAATATTCCACACAATTAGGACTTCAAAAGGTGATTACCATTTTGAAATGTGAGATCACTGTGCATTAGCTGCAATCAACATGAGAAGAATGAAAGTTTACTAACAAGAAGGGCTTTATATTTTATTTTACATTTGTAGATAGAATCTCAACATTTTTCTGAGAATTATAGTGGTGGAATAAGGAGAAGATCTGAGAGCTAATACAAAACCATAGGCCCAAAAATCTTGGGAGAAACTCCTGGCTCCACTGTAGTCAATAGCAAAACTTCCACTGATATTTGTGGGGCCAGGATTTCACCTCTTGTATCTCAGGCTGTTGTCAGGGCCGGCCTTAGGGAAAATGGCCCCTGGCCCCCACTGCATCCCTCCCATTGCCACAAGCTCCCTTCTGCAGCCTCATATCCTAGGCCTTCCCTGCCCCTTGACCACGGCACCTCCCTGACCACGGTGCCCTGGGAAGTTGCTCATGTTGCCCACCCGTAAGGCTGGCCCTGGCTGTTCTGAATACTAGGACCTGCAAGTGGATCTGCTGGGTGCATCTCTGAACCTGTCTGGAGCCCCATTAAAATCAACGGGGGCGCTGCAAGGATTTGTCCAGGTAGATCCACTTGCAGGATTTAGCTTCAAGTTTTGCAGCACCCAGAACAATAAGGAACCAATCCTAGGCCATGCTAAAAACAAATAATGATTAATAACAATAACAACAGAAACCATAATGAATCCAAAACATCAGCCTGATTCACTACTGCACTACTCCAGTTATGTGTCCGTTCAACTACAATGATGAATCCAGGTCCAGTGAATCAAACTCTGCATTAATCAGCAAAAACCTTAAGTAATCAGTGGAGTTTCTCTGGATTTACACTGTGCAGCAGAGTAGAATGTCCCCCTACATCTGTATAGTCATTATATTTAGCCTGATTTGGGAATGAGCAGTTCCTATCTTTAAAATGCTGTGGCTCCTACATGCTTTCCCTCCTCCCCCATTCCTCACCTGGATTAAGTTGTCTGATTCAGGAGAGACAGTTGGGAATGAGGAGTCACTGAAACATTTATGAGGGACAGAAAGCATTCTACCAATCAGAAATCACAGATATACTCCTCTGATTTATAATAAAGGATTGCAAATGCCACTGCCACAAGAAAGTTGTTATCCAAGGTTCTCAGTGACTGTAGTGATTAATTGCTAACATGACAATGTGATTTGTTTTATTTTTTACATTAACACGGTTCAAAGGTTTCTTTTGTTTGCTCTCACCTGCGTGGACTCGGAAGGACCAGAGCTGACCTGGACAGGGTTCAGGACACTAGGGATGCCTGGGATAGGTCTCTGGGTAGGAAAAGTTGGGGCAGGATGGATGAGTGGAGGGCTGTGTCCAAAGGCCGAACCTAGGGTTTGTTGACGACTTATAATTTGCTGATGCATTTGCTGGAGGGATACCGGTGTGGGAGGGTAAGTGAAACTCAGAGCAGGACTGAAACAAAAAAAGAGATGAGGACCATTGTTGTGTTGAGTTGTACAGGTAGTTTACATTTCCAGCTATTAAAGTAGCATAGGCAAAAAGCTATCCCTTTCCCTCTCTTTCTGTTCTTCCTCCCACACCCCCAACAAATTACAAACATTGCTACTAAATCCAAAACTGGGTTAAATTGATTACTGAGAGCAAAAACAATATTATAGCAAAAGATAATGTTTCTACCTTTCCATTAAAAAGACTCTCATTTACCAACAATACACAGAAAGTGCCTGAAATAAAATTCAGGAAATCTGAAATAAGAGGCAAGCAGTTCAATAACAGCTATTTATTACAATAACAAACTTTATATAAAGAAAAAGAATGGGCGATTACATGTTTTCTAGTACTTTTATTGATAAGTGGTGCTGTATGTTCTCGTGTATGAAGCAATTCCTTTAGTCTTGGCTCATGCTATGCTCGTTCATATGTCTCCAGATCTTATTACAAGAGGAGAGAAAATCAATTGGTTAAATGTGTTTTGAACAACATGCTTGTCATATCACTCATTTGTTTGTAAAGATGGAAAGCTCAGTTCATCCAGAATGTCACCTAAAGAATTTCCATCAGTGCCGTTTGGTTACAGAAACTGATGGATTAACCTTTCCCCTCTGAAATTGGTGATCAATGTGTTTCAATGTAGAAATATTCCAATGGGAAAGCACGTCTCCCTCTTCTAGTTAAACAACACTAAATGTCTATTAAAGCCCATTATGCATGCTAATACCTGTCATCACTTCATTACCCCGCTGTATTTCCCAGACTACAGTGAGTTCTGAGGAAATTACACTGCAGTCTAAAGACCTCTCTACTAGTAGGTAGTGCCAAATCATTTTTTGGTGCCATGATTTAGAAATGAATTGTTTGGAGCTAAATCCTCTGACAAGGCCATGGGATATTCTTGCAAGCATTTGCCAATAGTTTACAATCACAAAGGCCAAACAAAACAAAACAAAACACGACAAAAAAGCGTATTCACAAAAAATGTCTTTTAATTTTTTTTCTTTCTCTTAAAAAGAATCAATTAAAAGAGCCTGGCAAATTAAAAACATTTGGGCACGTGCGTGTGTAAAAAAAAATAACTTGCAAGAATCAAGGTTTCTTGTAATGTCAAAGGTGGATTTAATGCAAATTTAAAGTCTGGAGTCTTAATTACTGTTACTGTTAAGCACATTAACTGAAAACATTGAGATAAAAATAATTCAAATCATTTCAACCATTTTCAGTAATAATTCTACAGATGGTCTGTGTTCATTAATCTGACTATACATTTTGTCTGTTTGACTACAATCCATAAAGAGACGGCTTCAATGTGATTACATTACTATTATTCCTGGAGAGAACTCTGCATTACAATAGTTTGCCCATTTAGGACAGAATATCATTAAGAATACCCTGGGAGAATTTTACCAGTCTTTGAGGAACTCTCTTTTCATTTTGCATTGTATTCTTTTAATAAAGGGAGGCAGGAACGTAGTGAAAACAGTAATTGTTCACAGCAAGAGTTAGGGAGAAATCAGTAATAATATTCAGTTATTGCAGCCCTATAGTCCCTGCCAGTGGTCCTGTAAGCAACCATGAATGATTACAGCACGACTTAGCTAAGGTAGCCACTATGGATGATTGATAGGACATTAATCAAAAGATGCATATCAGGCTCAGAATTTGTTCACAAGCTTTCTTCTAATAGCTGATTTCATGTTCACTGAGCTCTATGCCAGTTTGTTCAATTTATTCTTCAGTGTACAAGCCATTCATCAAAGAACATGATGATTTAACACCCCTTTTCCCTTTTAGTGAACACACATTACTAAGTGTAACTACACTGTTCTGTTCATTAAAAATAACATACAATTACAATGTCACACACCAGTCTGAAACAGCAGTTGTGTATCCCTACTATGCATTTATGTTTCTATAGATACTACAGATTAATCAGGTGGAGGTCCAAAGTCACACCTAGCCCAAAAACTAGGTGGTACAGTACCAAGGATGCTACCCAGTTCTTCTGGGTCAACAAATGCAATACTCAAATAATTTGAATTAAGTGCTTAGTATTTTATTGCTTGTGTGTTCTGGGAATAAATAATAATATTTACTTAATATGTACGGACACAAATGGCTTGATCCTCTTCTCACCTGCACCAGTTTAAATAAAAATTAACTTCAATGGGAGCTGCAGGTGCTCAGCACACTTGGAAATCCAGCCACTTAGGTGTTTAAATATAAATTTAGGAACCTAACTTTAGGCACCCAGGTTTGAAAACTTCAGTCACTATACGTTAGGTTCTACATGCTAAAAAAAAGTATTCTTAGTTTTAATCCACAAGATATTAATGGCTGAAATCTGTTCTCAAAAACTTATATGTTGCTGCCTTTGACACATGGTCACCTCTGACCTAGAGTGAAATTTCACCCTAAAAGAAATGGTGCATAAAAGATCTCTTACAATCAGTTCTTTTGGAAGAGCTTGCAATCCAAACAGGGATTCCCTTGATGAGGTAGTATGGCTGTTGTGATATCAGTACCTTGAGACACTGTCAGTAGAATGTCAAGGTCGGACCTTTGGATCTGGATCTTTGTGGGATAGTAAAGAAACTGCAAGACCACCACTAGCGAGCTCGACTTGCACTCAGTGCTCCTGAGCAACTTGTTCACTTATACTTATTGGAGCTCAGTGAATAACATTTGTAATATTCTCTACTTAATCCCTCCAAAGAGAGGATCACACACCTAAGTAGGACCTTCTTTTAGCCAACCATTACCAGGTTCCACTCCCCATTTCACATAAATGAAAACAACACAAACATTGTATCTAACTTCCAACTTTAAGATGCCTTTTAAACTAATGGACACTGCTCCAAATCTGGAAAGATTCCCAATGGTTTGTTGCATGCAGTCAGACAGTGCTACTACATTTTATATTGGTGTTCCCCAATATAATAATATTAAAAATAATACCACCTAGCTCTTATATAGCACTTTTCATCAGTGGATCTCATTATGGAAATGGGCGCTTTAAAAAGGAAACAGTAGATGTGTTGTATACTTTTTTCTCCCAAGTACAATTCAAAGATGGCCCTAGCTGACACCCACCAGTAAGATGAATGAAAATGATAAACCCTAGCCTACAGAGATGTTCTCTTTCTTCGCATCTGCTTTGACTAACCCACACAAATTATCAAAGAGAAGGCTTTATTCCTACATCCATGTAACTGTAAAATATCCAGCATGAATAATGCAAATGACTTACAATGGCCACCATGTTGTCCATAAGGCCCCCTGTATTCACCCCACTTTCTTCAAATAGAGGGCATGACTTGTTGACTTAACTCTTTCACGGCAATATACCTAAACTTGGCATTTCAAAGTTGTTTGCCAGATTGCAAGTTGGACAGCCAACTAGCAGAATGGCAGACAAAACAGACTCTTTTCCCATCTTCGTAGCAAGTGGTGTTCATTGGAAGGTAGCAATAGCATAAGAAGCTCTAAAAAAAAAAAACTCAGCAGGGGAGTGAGGCTAGAAAGAGGAAGAATCCTTGTCTCTGTATTTTCTCCCTTTTATTCAGGACCCTACTGCAAGAACTAAGAATAAGATATCATGATTTTCATGTGCTGCCTGACAACACATATTCCACCCAGTGGTAGAAGAACACAAAAGATGGGCCCCAGTGCAGGTTTTTATTGTGGACTTTCTCCCTGAAGTTTGAATTATACACATCAAACATGGCGATTCAACTGTTCAGGACTTCATAACATTTCATTCTCAAAATGTTAAACTGTTTCACATAAGCTACGAGACTATAAAACACTAAGTTTTCTACTCACATATTTGCCCCCCTCCATAAGGGTCCAGCAGGAGAGCGGGGGTATCAGAGCTAAAATTCCAGACTCTCCAGCCACATATGAACAACTGGGGGGGAGGGATCGTAAGCCAAGACCCCCTCCCCGCCAAAACACACACACATACAAACACACAGCCCCTGGGTAAGAGTGGGGGGGGGGGGAAATTGGAGGCCAGGAAGTGAAGTGTGGAGATGGGGGAGGCAGGGGGGTTTGGTGAGGAAGGAGTTGGGAGTTCTGGGAAGGAACTGGTGGGCAGAAGGGTGTAGGGATTCACTGGAGGAATGATATAAGGACAGAGGAGTCTGGGGGATGGGGCAGAAATCTGAAGTCCCCAAAAACAAAGAGCCCAGACAGACAGCCCATGAGGGGCAGAGGGTAAAGTGGGGGTCTGGGAGAAGGGGTTGGGGACAGAAGGGGCTGGGGATGCGTGGCTGGCGTGAGAAAGCTGGAATCACACAGCTGTGGGGAAGGGTAAATCGGAGAGGAGCTGGAGGGAGCAGGACAGGAAGTATGAAAGATGTGGTGTCGCCAGGCTATAAGGTGGGGATACATCAAGGGGTGGTACTTACGAGAGTACGTGATACCAACTACTCTCTTCTAGCTCCTATCCCACAGGGCTGGCTGGGCTTGGCTTCCCGCTCAGGGCATCACAACCTGGCTGGCTGGGCCAAATCTGTGGGAATGGTGTTGCATGGAGTCACCCCCTGGGTACACGGGGTCACAATACCACTCAGATTTGGCCTGGCCAGCCCCCCATCATCAGGATGGAGGGGCAGCTGGGCCAAACCTGAGCAGCACTGCAACCATGTGCACCAAATTGCAACACCCAGAGAGAAGAACTGAACCCTTTTGCGCATTCTGGTAACCCTAGTTTGGGTCGTAACCCATGGGTTCAGAAACCCTGCTCTAAGCTGAGTGGACCCCTGTGCACCTGCACCAGCTATTTCTCTACCAGTGATTCCACTCCCTCAGTCTCCAAAATTCAGGCATCTCAGACTGAAACAACCAGTAGTTAATGAGGCAGCATAGGAAGAAGGGGTATCAATTAGTTAGTAGATCTCAGTGGAACTACTCAAAAATGGCAACCTCTGTAGAGCCATGAAGTTGACATCCTA